TTTGTTCGTAATCGTTTTCTAATACTCACTCCTCAAATATTTCTTTTCTGAGAAAATAAATTTCTTACTAGAAAGAAAGTTCTACTGTTAAATTTACATAAATCATTATTCCCAACCCATTTTATCCTAATAACAAGTCGAAGAAAAAGAGGACATATCATATTAAAATTTAGAGAAATTGTATGTTCATCTTTTTATGTAAATGTATATACATCCAGGGGCGAAGCACGAGGCTGGCTTCTCTAGGCTTCAGTCCACTCTTAAATGTGGGGAATAAATTATACAATTAAGCTTCTCATCCCGGGTTTAAATCCCGGGATTGGAAACAGGAAACAGGTCCTGCTTTTTTTTATTTTTTTTTGAACCGACCAATCACCTTCCGGCCCATGGCGTCTGGACCCAAAACCAGTTTTTTACCACGGGATGTGTAGCTCGGTTATATAAAAAGTTTCAGAATATTAATTATTCAAACGTAATTTTCTGACTGTCCCTGTACACATATATAAGAAAATCTACTATGAGTCTGTGACAGGACTAGGAAGAGGCCATGCTTATAGGCCCTGTTGGGAAATTTGTTACATCGATATATGCAATTAATTGTGTATAAAAGTTATTTTAAAGTTAAATTTAAAATTAAAGTGATATAATAAAAAATTAAATAATTGGGCTTAAGGCATCTAAATTGAGTTTGTGTCAGATTATATGTGTACGGACCGGATTCCTTTAAAATTATATTCTATGATGAGCAAAAAATATATGGAAATTATATATGGGGTTATAGTCCCTACCTTATATGTAATTTCTCATTTTTTGTGTCATCGCATCAACACAGGAATTATAGATAAAGCATATTATAGGGAAGATGCATAAAACCCACAATCAAGAATAAGCAATCCACATTCAAAAATCAAGAGGAAAAATTCAAAAACTCAAGAATCTATAATCAAGAATTAAGATTAAAGATTTAGAAGACAAAATTTAAAGATTATAATTCAAGATTCATCATGAGATACAAATCAATGGATCAATGTATGTTTCGCATTGTTTATTTTTCTTGGTAATTTGACATAAAGATCTTGACAATTATGTAAAAATTATAAAATATAAATTGCATAAATATTCAACATTATCAACTCATTTGGCAGTTGGAAATTATTGAAATATGAATTTAGAATCCCGGGGGTTGGGAGCAAGGATGTGGATTGTGAGATTTCGGTTGTTGGCATCACTTTGTGGGGGCTGAGAGTGATTCTTTTGGCTCTTGAGCCGCGATGAAATGAATTCACATTGGCACTTTCTAAAATGCAATGACTATCTAGTGGGGCTAAATTTAGTCGTGTCAAGAGATAAGTTGAGCAACTCTATGAAATAACTTGGTTCATTGAAAAACTGGATCGAATTAATGTGTTTGACAATTCATAAAGACACAATTGCCTTATCACTTTCGTATCGCTCCTACAAGTTCCCTTAATCTAGTCAGTACTGTCTATTAGAAGGTTTTCAAGAAAAAAATGAAAAAAGAAGAAGAGGTATTATCCCCTTTTCTCCTCTTCTTTCTAAGTATCTGATTATTAAAATTATTATTTTTAACTTCAGCTTGTTTGTTTAAAATAAGCATTTCATTCCCAACATATGATATCTCACCACTAGTAAATATAATTCGTAAATTGTTTTCACACTCCAACAAATTATTTTACAGTATAATTTTCATTAGACTATTATTTTTGCAAATATGTCTTAGTTTTAAATTATGTTAACTTCACAAAAAAAGATGGATTGATTCGGCCAAAATTGGATTATTACGAGGCAAGGGCGGAGCCAAAAATATTTTTCAATGCGGGCACAAATTCTTTCTCCCAACCACTATTTCTTCCGCCAACTTTTCTCACATGGAGGAAGTTGCTTCCGGTTTTCCAAAGCTACTGAACTATACATGACTGAGTTTAGTAAAACAGATTTTTGCTGAAGCTACTCCACAACAATCATTATTCTTTCTCAAAGTTGAGTCACTCAACTATACATGACTCCACCCCTCTTACGAGGGAGCACTTCTACATTGTATCTCATATTTACTGTTTCCCTTTCAGTCTTTTGAGTTATCGTTTTTATTAGACGAGATTCAAATAAAATGGCTCACACATTTGCTATTTATGCATTGTCAATATCTGAGGACAAAATATTGCCTGGATATTTCCCTTACGTTATATTGGATGTTGCTTTTGACGATGGTACTGCTAATGAATAAAATGGAGGACACTCCACTTTGTTTAAAGAGAGAGAGAGAGAAGGAAAAAAAAAAAAAAAAAAAAAGGAGGGAGGTTTGATCCACTGCTTCAAAGATGCGAAATTTTAGAATTACCATAATATTAAACAGAAACCTAAAAAATACTGTGGCGTAACTCTTTTCTTTTTCATTAAAGCTTTTTCATAACATATTGTGTTATTTATAATTAAAAATCATAATTTCAGATTTTATTAAAGATCAACATTTTACATGGACTACATATTGTGTTACCTTAATTTTTCATGGGTTACAAGTTATGTTACCTTGTTTTACATGAGTTACATGTATGTCGTTTTCTTCCACAGGTTAAATTTTATGTACTACTTTATTTTACACAGTTACAAGTTATACGGCGATGATGGTGGTAAGATGGGATTTGAGTTATTGTAGTGAAGGTGTACATGGTTTATTGGTGGAGGTAATTGCAAGTGAGCAATGATTATGGGCGTAGAAGATGATAGTAATCGCGGTGATGATGGTAGTACTGAAATAACTCAATCCATTATACATGCATAATGTGTTTAAAAATGTATAACACCTAAATTACCGTGTTTCCAAAAAAAAAAAAAGATAATAATTAAAAAAAATTATATATATATATATATATCACTTAATCATACGTTACAAGTGTAACATAATATTTTTATAAAATAAAAGGTTAAAACAATATTTTTAGAAATAGTTTAGGTTATGAAAATCACCCAATTTTTTAAGGTTTAATTGCGCCCTCTTTTTCTTCTAGCTAGAGATTAAAAAATAAGGCTTCTAGCTAGAGATTAAAAAATACCTTATTTTTTAATCTTTCAATTTTATCCTACATTTAAATAACACCTAATAAAAATAATTCTCCCTTTACAATCTTTTAGACTCCTCCATTACTAAACCACCACCATTTCTGCCGCCAAGGCAACAGTTGTCTCCACCTCCGCCGCCATCACCACATAAGGTGGCGGTTGAACGCGACGGCAACTAGTGGCGGAGCCACGTTCTGAAATTTTAGGCCCAAACACTATTTTATTATTATTATTATTATTATTATTACTTTAGCAATAGGGGAGGTGGAATAAAAATATGTTTTAATTTACATGGGTTTTATTTTTAGACCCAAACCCATGATTTTGTTTCATAGTTTTATCATCATTAAATTCATGATCAAAACACAATGTTCGACATGGGTTATATTATGCTCGCACTGAACAAATTTTCTGGCTCCGCCCTTGACGGCGACTGCGGATGATGAAGAGAAAGATGGTGTACATGGTAAGGATTTGAAAATATTAAAGATATAATTTTATTTTAATTTTTGAAATTGTGGGTTAATCAATATACTATATAAAAGACGGTATATATAATTAACTTTTGTTTAAAAAAAAAAGAAAAAAAAGAACAGATGTGAATATTCAAAGAATGACATATTTTTCAGAAGGATTATCTTGCATACTCTTTAATCTTTCTATCCCATTGGAGCTTTTAATTCCTTTTTCCATTTTTGATTTTTGGTTTTATCAGGCCCTTTTCGACCTCAATTTTTAATCAAAAAGATTGAATACACGAATGTCTCTATCAAACAAAAAGTTGCTCGATTAATTTAACTTTTAATTAGTTTGTTTGATTAGTCCAATCTTTTACCCGATTGGAACGCAATTGACACTGGTCTTGTGTTCATATTACTTTTATTTCTCTTGTTATCCTCTTATACTTATCATTCTAACGAGTTAACAATATTTATCGTAAGAATCTCCATGGAGTATCTTCTGTGAAAAAATCTCGTCCCTCTTCTTCTTTTTTGCGCTCTAGCGTTGCCACTGAAAATTACTTCAATCGTCACAGAGTAGGACAGACTGCTAAAATATAAGAATAACATATTTAATTATCTAGATAAAAAAATAGTTTTGAGCAATAAAAAAATTAATAATAAAATAACGATTTTAAAATCTTAAAAGATTAATATGTGTAGTGAATGTAGCATGTCATCTTGAACTTAGCTGCATGAATGACACGAAGCCGTACACGTAGCCAGTTCTCAGCAATCAAACCGCCCAAGTATTGCTTTAGTTGACGTATCTATCTCAATCTTATAAATAATGTGAACTTATGGAACAGTGTAAAGAACCTGAGCCAGAACAATGCACTCTGTAAAAGAAAAGGCAAGCAACGCTGCCGCCTCCGGAAAGGAGCATATCGACATCATGAAAGCCAAAGCTCAAGAGAAGGTACGTCTCCTTCCTCATATATGTATCCTTTTGACCCATAAATACCAATACATGTTGAGTAATACTATTAAAATTTGGATTGGAGTGTCATTTTAAAAGATAACTTATTTTTCGAACTAGAATCCCATGTGGGATTTTACCTTGTTATACGATTCTTATGGATTATTAAACTTAGGTGGAGAAAGCTACATCGAGGACTAAGGAAGAGAAGACAATAGCTCATGAGAGGAGGAAAGCCAAAGAAGCTGAAGCTAAGATGAAGCTGCATGAAGCCAAGGCCGAGCACGCGGATGAGAAATTGCACGGACATCATCTCCACCCCCACCACGAGCCGGTGGTCGGTACCCATGGGCATCATCATCAACCGGTGGGAACGGCGGATCCAACAACAGGTGTACCAGCTCCCAAATATCCCCTAGGTGGTCAGTTTCCTGCCGGACCGACTCATAATAAATATGTTTAAGGTTCCTAAATCCTAAATGGCAACAAATATATGTTAGGGTTTCTAATTAAATGATGTTTGGATATCTGTATTGTGTTTGTGTTTGTGTGTGTTTTCATGCCTCGAAGAAATTGAGTTTTATGGGAAACAAAAGAGAATTGCTTTTTAGACTGTTTATTTTTCAGAAATTAACATTTTTATTCATAGAATGCAGAATGAATTACAATACATGCTATTTCGGATGACCTAGTCTCTGATTCCACGAATGGCATCAATGTTATTCAACCACGAATGGCATCAATGTTATCCAAATGCGCGCACGCGCACACCCGAAAGAAGAAACAGCGTTCAAAGAATTTGCGACTCAGTAGAATTTGAAGTAGGAATATACTTTGATTTGGACACATCTAGTTGATAGAGTCCACGTTTAAGCTTGCCTCGCAAGAGAACTAGCTCTCAGAATTTGTCTTAAACGTAAGAAGTACCAACAATGTCCGCAATGAGGTTGTTATCAATGAGAAATCTGGACAAACCAAGTAGATACTTATAGTGGAGGGAATACGTAATTTGTTTTTAGTACGAGAGAGAATATTCAAATTTGAAGGTACAGCGAAATTTTTTTTACATGGGCTATAGAAATGGTATTACCATCCCACTGGAGTTGAGGTGGATTGATCATATTCATACGTACCTTTACAAAGGTTTAAAATAGAAGTGCTATTCTCCAATGATTAATTTTTGGAGTTGAATTGATTCCGTGAATAATCGGGATATTAAGAATACCTAGAATGATATTTCTAGAATTGATGTAAAATCTAGATTTGAAATCACTGTCATATTATATAACGAAGTTGAAATACATGGGAATACAGTATGCCAATCCATTACCACTACTAACATGTTACAAAAATCGATATATGTTGTACAATATAAAAGTGCAACACGCATGTCCACCACATGAAAATGCTATGTATACATGGATACACCTTAGAGTACGACATATAGGCCTATAAAAAGAGTATCATTAACATTAAAACACCATTTTATGTGACGGCACATGACAAATTCAATTAAATGAGTAACAATAATATTACATTTAATTGAACTTATCATTTAATGCCATTCATATGTCACATAAGGTGGCGTTCTAGCACAATGATGCTAGATAGCATTATTCACTATAAAATTAATTTGGCAAGAATGTACAACACATGATTAATGCACACAATATTGTAGAAACTGTTAAATGCCTATCTATTACCTGATTAGCCATTAGTGATGCAATCTAATTATCTAGACTTTATGACAAACAGAAACAGTATTGGGAGGAACAACTGGAATAGAGAAATATGGATCCACCAACACAAATTCATGTCCAATTCTATATTCTTCAACGCAGATAATGCATCGATAGAGCATTTTTGCCTTCTTCCATATATAGCATATAGAAGCATACCAAAAGCTTCGTTGATTATGCCGCTCTTGATCAGTGTCGAAATTTCGTGTTTCTCCTTGATTTCTGTCCGTTATTGATTCATTACCTTTATGTTTCATCGACCGCCTTCTCAATTCCATGTGTGAGTAAATGCTCTCTCGAACTAAAGTTGTATACTTTCAGATTTACTCGTGCTTGGCCAAGTGAATCAAAGTTCTCTTTAATCAACTGCCGACCTTGTCAAGTTTATAAGATATTATGAGCATGGAGTTGGTAGGTATATGAGTATAGAGCATCTTAGAGAGTGATTCATTGAGATGTGTATATAGGGTTTTAATGGGAATTGAAGTTTGGAAATGGTTAATTCCAAAAAGGGCCCAATGGTTAACAATAACGCGTGAAAGGTGGGACTTTGATTTAAGGTCGTCTTATCATTTTCATTCATGTAGTACTCATTAGCGATAATCATTAGTCATCTATATGGTTTTGCATTGTACACTCTAGAAGTTCAACGAAAGGCTAATATGAAATCTCAGTGGGAGCTTCAAAAGAGAAAATTAATGTACTAGAAATGAAAGAGTTTCTTATTAAGAAGACATTTTATTTCACAGTCATTTAGGGTGTGTTCTCTTTCCCGTTTTCAGCCGGTTTTCTGTTTTCGATTTTTCAAAATGGTGAAAACTTGTTTTCTTACCCATTTTCGAAAGCACAAAAAAAATTTGTGAAGAAAATAAAAAAAGACCAAAATGTTGTTTTGACTGTTTTCTATACAAAACTCCAAAATGTTACAAAACACGAGAAATGGCTTTTGAAACACAAAATCAAATATTCATCCACTTTCTTCAAATCCATTCTCTACATTCTCTCTCTCTCTTGGACGCCGACTGTGGGTGATTGACGCAGGCCATGGATGGTCGCACACTTCAGCCAAAGATGAAGGAGATGTGCTAATGTCGGCACCAGCGTCGCGACCCATTCATCGCGATAGTAGCATCGCGAGCCAGGGGAGGCGATGCTGCTGTGGTTTGGGGCCATCTCTGCCGGTGATCGAAGAGAGAGAAGCTGTAGTTCATCACGATGGGTGATCGACGCCGCAAATCTGTCCAGAATCTACCTTCTCTCTCTCTCTCTCTTTTTGGATTTGGAAGGCGATGGGTGTTGATGGTGGTTGTAATGGTATGTTTGTGGCAGTGGGTGATCGACACCGACCGGGTGGTGTTGATTTTGGCAATGGTGAGTGGTTCAGGGTGGTGGCTGCGGTTGATGGTTGGTGGTGGCAGTGGTGTTGATCTTGGTCGATGGTAGTGGTGGTGGTTGTCTCTGCCGACGATGATTGATGGTGGTGGACTCGGTGGAAAACACATTTTCCAAAATTTCAAAGAATTTCATAGTGAACTCGTTTTTCCATTTTTCTATTTTCAGAAACGTTTCTCAAAATATCGAATAGAACGTATTTTAAACAATTTCAAAATACACTCAAAACACAAAACTCAAAATGAATTCAAAACTCAAAACTATAAAACTAAAACACGAAGAGAACACACCCTTAGTTATTTAGATAACTCAAACTTTATTTCTACCTTTTGGGGTTCTTTTAAATATTGCGCGTAAGTTATTCCTACCATAATGTCCTTGTTTAATCCTCTTTTTTTTTCTTTAGCCCCAAATTCTTTCATAAAATACAAGTAGATTAAAAAATTTCCCTATTTTTTAATCATATTTTTCAAAAAGAAAAAAGGAGGAATATTTCAAAACAAATTTCTCTCAAAAAACGTGGCTTAATTAGAGGTAATATATCAATGTCAGTAGCTTTTCAGTGCTTTCAAAGGACAGCAATAGTTCAACATTGTAATTTCCAAAGGACCTTGCTATTTGTATATGTTGGCTTACACTTTGGTTGACACGGTCCCACCACTTCTTTCAAATGGGGAGGTTGGCTCCACACATTTGGGCGTGAGACCCGACCTCTCCCATGTGAGAGATCGGGTGAAACCGTGTAAACCAAAGTGTAAGACACCATGTTCAAATAAATTTAATCCATTTACAAAAGGAACATTGTGCATGCATGGTCAATATCACTTGGGGTGCCCTAGCCCTAGGGCATAAGCCCTTCACTCTATGGAAATCTAGAAAATAGTTGCCGCCTTTCCTTATTTATTAGTCTGCTTTGGACCACACAGGAATTTTGGGGTGGACTTCCTTTGCTAGAAAATTGAGTTATCCTAGCCTTACCGACTGGACCTACATCTAGAAATTTGATTGAAGTGGTCGATTTTTTTGTAATTATTAAACTTTTGTAATAATAAAAAAAAAAAAAAAGGTTGAACCTAAATTTTGAGAGCTCCCACCGCCTCGCCCCTAGAGATTTGTAAGGGAGGTAAATCGCTGGATGTGCCACAGCAAGATAGGGAATAAGAGCTGCTTGTACATTGCGCCTACAAGGAGTCCAATTCCATGTCTTAGGAATCGAACCCCCACATTGCGACTGCCAGCAAGGCGTGAGATAACAATGTGAAAAATAATTACTTTTGTATCAATCATCTTATGCTATTGGTTGCTAACACGAAGTAAATTAACAAAACCTAGAGGTTGGGGCTAAAAAGTTTATTTTGGAATAAATTAAAATTGGTTAATATCTAAAGCAAATAAATTATGTAAATTCAACTCGGTAATCTAAATTCTAAATTAGATTACTGAGTTTAGCTATATATTTAGATTTTTAATCTAAATTAACTATTAATTTTAATTAAACATTTCATGTGAATCATAACTTACCAACTACACATTTCATCAACTTTTATCAAATATTTTAAAATTTTGAATTTGAGCATACCTTTGCACTTGAAAAGACGTGTATACATAAAAATTGTGCTGATGCTAAATATTAATGGTATGACACATTAACTCATTTTTGGGTAAAGGTTGTAACAAACTAATTTTCGGCTTACAGTGGACAGGAAATATAATGCCCACCAACTTATATGGCAATATATGGTTTTGCCACATCAACGGTGGATATTTTATTTCATCCCTCATCGCTCACGTGGCAATGTCACATCAATCGTGGGAACTATATTCTTCTACCCATAGTAGGCGAAAGATCAATTTTGAAGGGTTTTAGAATTTGAAATCGATTTGTCATACATCAATGCATTGGTATATTATGTTATAGTGTTTAACATAAAATGAGTACGGTGCTTGGGCTAATATTACTGGGCAAATTTTTATTTTTATTTTTATTTTTTCCATTTAGAATTTTTAACCGAGGTTTCTATTTATATATATACACCGAGCTTTCATTTATTAATCAAGTTTGTAAAGGTTTACATTAAAAGTAAAAGAAAACATGTGGAAGGAAGGTATATTTCATTCTAGTACAAAATAGCTGTCGATCAATGTCTAAAGGTAATTTCATTTGTACCGGTGCATTTACACGCCTTGTTTTGGGCATATCAAGCCCTACCAACCTTTGACTGACATCTCACTCTATCGAGGAACCCGTCACATGGGAGGCGGGGCCTCGCACAACAAATGCGCGGCCCCACCCCCATGTGAGGGGCATGTAACCAAGTATGTAAACACCCAAGTACAACTAGTTCGGTTCATGTCTAAAAATATCTTAGCAAGTTGAAGGTTCTAGATGTTTGATTCATGTGACCGCTGTTTTTTTATCGAATTGAGGGAAAAAAAAGAAGAAGATAAAAATAGGAGAGGGGTGGAGATTGAAACGTACTTGGCCTTTCAGCTCAGGCTCAAAACATGGTTTGACCTACCTCAGCAAGAGCGTGCTAGGCTCAGCTATAGAAGTCTGCAGTCTGCCTTGGCCTGTCTTATTCTTTAAACAATTCCTTCATTTAAAAAAAAAAATTAAAAAAAAATAATAAAAGATTGAGAACAAATTTACAAATGAAAATGATATATTAGAAATGGTCGCTGTTATTCCCTTTTAAATATGTGAACAGCAAAGGTAGAGGTGCATGATTGATGAGACCTTGCCCATATCTTCCCTTCCACAAATTTAAGCGTCCTTGGTATAGTACAAGGTACAATGCAGTTTCGTGTTGGAAATTTGAAGACTAAAACATGGCATTTATTGCGGTGGGAAGCAAGTGGCTCGAACCTAAAATGAATTTTGTTGATAAGAGTGGTGCAATCTCGATAAAACATGTTAGAAAAGAGAGATCGACAAAAATTAACATGCTTTAGATAATAGCTAATGTTGGTATCCGAACTCATGAATTATCTTGAGCCCACTTCGAATAGTGATTAAAAACAATTTAATTATAAACCTCCCAAGTCGCAACAAGAGGTCGGACTGCGAGTTCATCCAATGAGCCCAGCCATAAGGCCGTCGTCATCCCGTGTAAACATCATCATTATCAACTGAAAGGGTGTTCCCTAGTGACGTCAACACCTTTACAACAACCAATCAAAACAAGATAAGCGTCATCTCTTATGTTAATACAGCCACTTTAACTAATCAAAGAAGAGTAATGATTGTTTAGACAACATACAATCATGATCTAGGCCACATGCTACATCTTAGTTAAAAATGATGGTTTGTATGGTAGAACTCAACATCCAATTAAATCGCTTCAAGCAGGATGGTGACACACAAATCAAGGTCAGACATTGTAGCTTGATAAAACAAGAGACGGGAAGCTCCTATCATAGGCTTATAAATAGGGGCAATGATCCCCCTACAAGGGATCGATATAATACGTTACAAAAGACCTCTTAATTAAAAACTCTCTTTTTCTTTACAATATTCCTACAAATTAAACAGTATTATTTAGCGACGTTTCTCTTTGATTGATCTATGATTGTCACATCAATTTTAGTCATCAACAACTTCTTTATAGTCACTTTAGATCTTGTAATCAAACAACGAGCCTAGCAGAGGGGTAGAAGAAATATTCACGTAACGAACCCAAATTTCAAAAATAAATCCTTGAACTATTTAACCAGGCTATTATTAGAATATGCTCCATTCCTACAGCAAGAGGAAAGGGAAAACCTGGAAAAGAAATTTGGCATGAAAATGAAAATTATACTCATTCTGGAAGGAACAAAAGAATGTTTATACTCTGCCTTTTTCTTTCTTCACTGCTCAATATGTGAAAACTTCCACAGAGTGATGATGGTAAAACAAGCCTCTAGGGGCGGGGCGATGGGATCCCTCGAAGTTGGGGTTCAACCCCTTTTTTTTTTTTTTTTTTTTTTTTTTTTTTTTTTTTTTAAAGCAACCGACTTAATCTCCAAGTACTGAATTGAAGTCACCAGCAACAAGTACTGAAGGGGAGCAATCAATATCTGTCACTTTGCCAAGCACGAAGCTTGACATCAGCCCATTCTAGATTTTTTAACAATATTCAAAGCTAATCCAAGTATAGATCATGCAATAGTACCCAAAGGAATTTTTCTTTGATGAGTTGAATTTCACTAGAAAGTTAAACCTTTGTATAAAAGCACTATCTACTAACTTCTACAACATAACACACAGAAATAATATCACTTATGATGAAATGAGAATTAAATTCTGAACCAGCTTACCAATGGAGATGAGTGTTCGCGAATAACACGATGACTAAAAGGGTTCTCAAGTCTATGGGGCAGGCATGATTCCAACGCAATCTTACACGAGGATAATTAGGATCTCCACGGTCATTTTGAGCGTCTTTCTGCTCTAAACCTGAAATAAATTGCTAAATGCTAGAGTTTACCAACATAACACAGGATTGGTAATCATAATGAAATTAAAGACTTGGGTTGCACCAAGGAACCATCAAAACTAAATAAGTGAACCTCGGGCTCGGAAATTATTGTAAATATCAAATTATGGCTTGGAGGAAAAATAAAAGAAAAATCATAAGAACTCCTTAATCAACTGAGAAAATCAAATTATATATTTAATCAAACTACTTCAGATGTTCAACAAAGGAATACTGTATATTTGACTGCAATCTAAATATAATGCAAGCGTTACAAGATTTTGTCTCTATCTCCAAATTTTTGAATATAGATCTTAGCCCATGTTATTGAAGTTTGGATTATTTAAGCCAAGAAGAGCCAAGAAGGATCTGGAATACACCAGAATGAGGGCAGCCAGTGCACATGATGCTGCTGATTTTGATTCCAATTCTGTTAGGTTGTTAGTGTGCAAATTATTGTATAGTAAATTCTGTATATTTCTGTTATAGGAAAGTTGTATAAATAGGTCATTTTTACTCTCTCAATATACACACGAGAATGAAAGCAATTGAATGATATTTTCAGCAAATTCCTTTTGATCTCCATTTTGCAATTCATTTTATCACCATTTCCTTTATGGTATCAGAGCCTTAATGGCTGAAAACAATGACAATGGCATCAACACTGATGCTGATCAAAATCAAACAATAACTCAAAACACAAACTCAAATACAAATCATTATGATCCATCTCTTCCTAACAGCCCATACTTCATTGGGGCAAATGAAAGTTCAGGAGCCCTGCTTGTGACACAAATGCTGGATGCAAACAACTACCATTCCTGGGCAAGGTCAATAAAGAGGGCCCTGAGAATCAAAAACAAGCTTGGGTTCATCGATGGTAGCCTCTGTGCACCAGCTGATGCAGAAAATCCATTGATGGAACACTGGCTTTATTGTAACGATATTGTTATCAGCTGGCTGCAAAACACCATGACAGTTGACATTAAGGCAAGCACACTCTATGTGGAGACAGCACACCAGCTTTGGGTAGAGATAGAGCAACGTCTTGCTCAACAAAATGCCCCCAGAATATATGAAATCAAACAAGGCATTGCAGCACTCATGCAAGGACATGACACTGTAAGCACTTATTTCTCAAAACTCAAAACACTTCTTGATGAATTGATCAACTATGAGTCTATTCCCAACTGCACCTGTGGGGGGTTAAAAACAGTGGTTAGTAATCAGGAACGAGATTGGGTAATGAAGTTTCTCATGGGACTTAATGAATCCTACAAAGGTCTTAAGGCTCAGATTCTCCTGATCAAGCCATTCCCAAAATTGAAAGAAGTATATTCACTAATTCAGCAAGAAGAAAAGAGAAGGGAAATCTCCAATGATGCTCTTGCTACTGAAGGAATGGCACTAGTGTCAAGAATGGATATGAGAGAGGTAGAGAAAAAAAATACTGAATCACCAAAGAAATATTATTGCACCTTTTGCAAAATGGCAGGGCACTAGTTAGAAAGATGTTTCAAGGCCAATAAGTATAAATCAACATGCACACATTGCAAAATGCCTGGCCATACTATCAGTAATTGTTTCAAAATTCATGGTTATCCACCAGGCCATAAGTTCTACAACAAACCACAGGTGAATTTCACCTCTACAGATCAGAATATGCCTCCTATGGGATCTGCACAGGAGCGAATCAATGACAAGAATCAAGTGGTTTTGACTCAGGAGGAATACACCCAGTTAATGGCTCTAATTAAGCAATCAATCAATCAGCCTCATTCACCTTTTGCCAATCATGTTCAGGGTTTGAATTCTCTTTCTCTAAAACACACAAATGTATCCAAAATCTCTTGCACTTACACATGTTCTTCTGCTCACATTGATGATTTTACCACCATGCCTTGGATTGTGGACACAGGAGCCACAGACCATATGGTCTGCTCAATATCCTTCCTCACAACCATTAAAAAAAAAATTTCCCAACCTGTCACATTACCTGATGGTGCTATAACCTTGGCCACTCACATAGGAAATGTTAAAATCACAGAAAATTTATTGCTTCATAATGTTCTGTGTGTTCCATCTTTTTCATTTAACCTCATATCCGCAACAAAACTCACTCAAGGATCTGATTGCTGCCTTATCTTTTCTTCCAATTTATGTTATGTGCAGGACCTTACAACTTGGAAGACGATTGGTCTGGGTGAAGTGAGGAAGGGGCTGTATCACTTGGTGCCAAAAGAGGTTTCTCCTACCATGCTTGATCAAAACTTACCTAAGTTAGTCAATAAGGCTGTTTTGTCAGTCTCTGCTGATGACAGCCAAGAAAATTTCGATCTATGGCACTTCAGGTTGGGCCATCTTTCAGATTCTAGGATGGACTTGACTAAGTTCCGACCTAAAACAAAGCATATCCAAAAATATTGTCCCATCTGCCCTCTAGCAAAAATGCATAGATTACCATTCACAATTAGCCAACATAGGTCCAAAGAATGTTTTGATTTGCTTCATTGTGATTTATGGGGTCCTTGTACTGATATTGCCTATGATGGATCAAAGTATTTTCTTACCATAGTTGATGATCATAGCCGATGCACTTGGGTTTATTTACTGAAATTGAAATCTGATGTTTCCACAACTTTACAAAACTTTTACACATTGATAGAAACGCAATTTAACTCCAAAATCAAAACCATCAGGACTGATAATGGAGGGGAGTTTAATCTGAAACAATTTTACTTGCAAAAGGGTATCATTCACCAAACCACATGTGTTGAAACTCCCCAGCAGAATGCTGTAGTTGAAAGGAAGCACCAACACATATTGAATGTAGCCAAGGCCTTGAAATTTCAAAGTGGATTGCCTATGATCTATTGGAATGAATGCATATTAACATCTGTTTTCCTCATAAACAGAACCCCCAGTCCCATCCTTGAGAACAAAACACCATTCGAACTTCTTTTCAAAACCAGGCCAAACTATTCAAACTTGAGGGTGTTTGGGTGTCTTGCATTTGCTAGCACCCTTGCACACAATAGGCATAAATTCGACTCAAGGGCAAGGAAATGCACTTTCATAGGTTATCCCTTTGGGACCAAAGGCTATAAAATGTTGGACATGGAAACTAATAAAGTGTTCATATCAAGAGATGTAATATTCTATGAAAATATTTTTCCTTGGAAAGCATCTGCCACTAAAGCCAGATATGAGTCATCAAATCCCACCTACAAACTACCAAGTCCTGAAAATCTTCCTTATGCTCAGCCAAGCAACATTGACCTAAGCTATCAACCACAAACTGGAACCTCACAAAATCTCGTCAACAAATAGATTCTCCAGAAACACACCAAAATTTTACTGAAATCGAATTGTCACCAAATGCATCAATTAGTCCTCATATGCTTCGAAGATCGACCAGAAATAAAAGAGCACCTATTTACCTACATGATTTCATATGTCAACAGGCTTCCTCACTCACTCATTCTCAAGAGTTCACCAAGAAAGGGGGTGCCATAACTTCAGGTAAACCTTTCCCTCTAAATGCAACACTTTCTTATCATAAATTGTCTGACAAACACAAAGCACTATCTATATCTTTACTTGAACATCCAGAACCCACTACTTACCAAGAGGCTGTCCAGTTTCCTGAAATTAAGGCACTTGAGTCAAACCAGACTTGGATTGTCACTGATTTGCCTCCTGGAAAGGTACCTATAGGATGTAAATGGGTGTACAAGGTGAAGTTTAATGCTGATGGAACAATCGAAAGACATAAGGCAAGGCTCGTGGCAAAGTGTTATACCCAGCTGGAGGGAATAGACTACCACGAAACCTTTTCGCCTGTGGCAAAACTGGTGACAATTAGGACATTACTTGCGGTGGCAGCAATGAGAGGTTGGTATCTACACCAATTTGACGTAAATAATGCCTTCTTGCACGGAGATTTGGAGGAGGAAGTCTATATGCACATGCCTCCTGGATACTTCACCAATGTAACTCCAATGGTGTGCAAGCTTAACAAGAGTTTGTATGGTTTAAAGCAAGCGTCGTGACAATGGTACTCTAAGTTGTCCATTTTCATCACTGAGCAAGGATTTCATCAATCAAAGGCTGACTACAGCCTCTTCACAAAGAGCACAGGGGATTCTTTTACAGCCATACTGATTTACGTGGATGATATTATAATAGCTGGAAGCAATGTGGAAGTCATAAAACTCCCTCAAGGTTTCATTGGATGACAAATTCAAGATTAAGGATTTGGGGAATCTTAGATATTTCCTTGGAATTGAAGTTTCTCAATCAGCAAAAGGGATCCAAATTTGTCAAAGGAAATATGCATTGGACATTTTATCTGATTCAGGCAATATTGGGGTCACTCCAGCTAAGATCCCACTTGATCAAAATATCAAATTGTCCAAAGATGAAGGAGAAGTTTTAACTGACCCTGCCATGTATAGAAGACTTGTGGGAAGATTGCTCTATTTAACAATCACCAGACCTGACTTATCTTACTCAGTAAATTTGCTGAGCCAATACATGCAAACTCCCAGGGTACCACACCTCAATGCTGCACACAAAATCCTTCGATATATTAAAATGTCACCAGGTCAGGGGTTGTTGTTCTCCTCATCATCCAATCTACAGCTTACAGCTTATGCTGATTCAGACTGGGGAGCATGCCCTGATTCTCGAAGGTCAGTCACGGGCTACTGCGTTTTCATTGGTTCTTCATTGATATCTTGGAAATCCAAGAAGCAAAGTGTTGTCTCTAGATCCTCAGCGGAAGCAGAATACAGGGCAATGGCAGCTGCATGTTGTGAATTAACGTGGCTTAGATATGTGCTTGATGATCTGCAGGTTGCTCATTCACAACCTGCTGAATTGTTGTGCGACAATCAGGCGGCCTTACACATAGCTGCCAATCCGGTGTTCCATGAACGAACGAAACATATTGAGCTAGATTGCCATTTAGTGCGTGACAAAATTCAAGAAGGAAGTCTTGTTACAAAACATGTTAAGACCGGTTCTCAAGTTGCTAACATATTTACTAAGGCTCTTCCTTCTGACAGTTTTTATTTTCATTTGTCCAAGATGGGAGTGGAAGACATCCACTCACCACCTTGAGGGGGGCTATTGAAGTTTGGATTATTTAAGCCAAGAAGAATCTGGAATACACCAGAATGAGGGCAGCCAGTGCACGTGATGCTGCTGATTTTGATTCCAATTCTGTTAGGTTGTTAGTGTGCAAATTATTGTGCAGTAAATTCTGTATATTTCTGTTATAGGAAAGTTGTATAAATAGGTCATTTTTACTCTCTCAATATACACACGAGAATGAAAGCAATTGAATGATATTTTCAGCAAATTCCTTTTGATCTCCATTTTGCAATTCATTTTATCACCATTTCCTTTACATGTTTCCTATAAATTTTTTAAAAGACATTTTTCCTCAAACTCATTTTCAAGCATTACATGTGGACCTATAACTTTTCGTACTTTTTAACCACCGTAAAAAAAATCTACATCGAAGGCCCTAAATTTCCATTTTCATGTGCAAACATAAAATGTCTCAGTGGAACTTCGTTTTTAGAATCTGTAAGTGCAGTTGAACTTCACTGGTGGAAGTCGCTAACAGTTGCTTCCATTTTAATGTAAGTGTGGCTCCTACACGAGTTAACTACGAAATCTATGCTGTGAAATTGAAACAGATAGATTTATATCATATCAACAGCACAGATCATGACATCTCGGATGTAAAATCAGTGTGGTGATTGCCATATGGGGATTTATTTCTGAGAGCTGACAATAAAAACAGACTCAGATTACCAGTTTTACACCCTTCACTGAAAGCAGAAGAATAATTCGCCGAACACCGAGGAGAATTTAAAAGAAAGGGTTGATAAGTTACCGTCATTTAATTCACTTTTGGTCTCACTTGTCAGTGAATCGCTGTCTTTATCCTAGCATGGGGTTCTTCCATCTTGAACTGAGTTCACCAGATCATTGTAGTCTCTGCACTAATTGAAGTATCAAAACATAAACGATGGATCACTTGAGCCAGTATATTACAGTAAAACCTCTCTGCAGTTTTTGATTTGCATTTGGAAAAAAATATATATATACTTTTGGTACTAAAACTATGGATATTCAACACCATATAGTGAATGAATGTTTCCAAGAAAAGTAGTGCTTAAAAGCCTTAAATTATATGAATATATGCTTAGAGTCCTTTTTCTTTTGTCGAAAATGTTTCAGCGAAATTATTTCTATTCAAATCAAATAGTAGCTTCTTATTGTATATTAAGCGTCAGGTTTTTCTTGAATAAATTTTATCAGTTAATTTATTAGAAAAAAATAATCATACCACACTACATTTTTATCCACCAAAGCAAGTGTTTCAAAGGTTGAACATACTACTCTAATATCGGTTCACGCTTTCTTGTATTATAGATATCCCAAACTCTAAAAATAGAGGAGAACAAAGTTTCTATCTGTTGGAGAAATTCATAAATCACCGTGAACCTGGTTCAAGGGCGGAGTCAGGAAATTTGTTCGGTGCGGGCATAATTTAACTCACGACGAACATTGAGTTTTGGTCATGAATTTAATGATAATAAAACTATAAAACAAAATTGCGATAATACTAAAAATGACGGTTTATAATTAAACGTGTTCCTTGCAAGTTTTCATATTTTAATAAGTGAAATCCAAATCTACCTATGCCTAAAATCAAGCAAAATTATGGGATATTTCTAAAAAAAAAAAAAAAAATTAAAAAAAAAAAGGAAAAAAGGTTTGGGCCTAAAAATTCAGTGGCTCCGCCGTTGCCTGGTTCATCAAGTTTTTGACTTAATTCAGTTCATGACAACCAACTCATATACAAGTTAAGGTGGCGTTTATGGTGGAGATGGTGATTATTTAGGTGTTTGTTCTCGGAGGAGAGCTACGTGTACAAAAAAATATTGTACATAACTTGGCCAAACAACACACAACATGGGGTGGGTGGGTGATTTTTTGGCATTATTTTATCACCCACATGGGGCCCACCATGTGAGTAATCTGGTGGACTTCTGTACAATCATTTATGTACAAAGGCCGTAAGGTTGTTCTCATGATCTTAGCGTGTGGTGTCTATGCATCTATGATGGTGGAGTTAAAGTTCAAGTGTAGTTGTTGATTATGGTGGTTGAGGTGATGGTGAGCACTAGCAAAGATGTTGCTGGCGGTGGCCATCTTCCAACTATGGTGGTTCAATTTAAATTGAATTTTTATAATTGGTCTGATATGCTTAAAAAATTAAATTTGCATGTTAATTGGATTAGCGTGCAAATACAGTAATTATTTTCATTCAATAGTTCAAAATATTGAATGAGATCAGATCGATATCACTATTGGCAGAGTCTGCTTAGTCAATACAATTTGTGCAGGTATCTGTCCCCTATCTTGAACAATCTCCCTATGGAAAGGCTATGTTTAGACCCCTTTTCGGAGGAGATCATCCTCTAAACGGCGACTAATATATCAAAATACATGAAAACATTATGACAAAGTTTGTACACTCAAATCGATCTCAATAATGATCCTCCTATAGAGACTCATTCCTTAGATTGATGATTAAACATGACGATATTGACTTCTTAAAATAACTTTAAAGAAGTCGGTGGGAACTTAGCACCAACCAAAAATGATATTTCCTGTAGAAGTGGCCAATGGATTTTGAAGATCCATATATGATCGCATACTAAATAATACAAACATTTTAATAGTTTCAGACTTATAATACATTCTAATCCATGTGTTATAACACAAATATTATCGTATTCTTCCAACACATTTGTTCATATAGGAAAATTTCATTAAACCTCCAACAAGGTAACGAAGATTCCAAAAATTACATTGACTGGCTTTCTCTACACAGGATAAAATAAAGTTTTAAATGATGAGTCATGGACAATTGAAGTAGTTTGTAGCTTCCGTCTATGAACTCAATCAGAATTAGAATAGGCGTTTTCTACATTCTGCAGCTCCACAATAGCAAGGCATTTGTCGGATCTTGCCATTCGGATCCATCACACTATCAAGAGCATACCCATAATCGTATGTAAGTTCCTACAGATGAGCAATAACAAAATATGATCACTAAAACTTTTTAACTTATCCATAAGCACTTCACCTTGAGCTTCAGAAAATCGACAAGAGACTGAGGATTAAAGCACCTTGAGTGGTGTTATATTGTCAGCAGCCATTAGTATCACCCGAGCAAGTTTAATATCATGATGATTGCTTAACACGCATTGAACGAACAAATTGGGTTGGCAGCTATGATTGATGAACCGAGCAAAATTACCAGTCTGGCCTGCGTCAATGCAAAATGGCACACTCTCGGATGTATCATCAACTTTTCCCACGTGAGATGGCAAAGCCACGTCCCTCAGTCGTCTCTAGAAAGTTGGGAAAAGCTTTGAGTGATTAGAAACAATATTAGACAATAGAAGGTACATGTTAAAAAACACTAACACTATAAGTAAATATGTTAAAAGTTCAGCCAAATGAGCTAAAACTAAGAGAGTGGAAATGACAACATGAAAGAGTAAAAAGCACAAGAAAATATGGAAGTCAGAAGGCATACACAACGTCAATCTCTCATTAGCAAACAATACATTCAATGAAGAATATATGTATAAAGTGCGAGATTGAGCTCGTTTGGTAACAATTCTTTCAATAAAATATTCATGTAAACCCAAAACATTTTAATCACACATTCTCCAAAAATTTACTACTCAAAAACTCATTCTTCCCAAAAAAAGGCTGTCAAACAGGAGCTAAGACTTGAAATATTTACCTCTCTTCCATCCAGTGCGTTCATTGTTTGCAAGCAATCAATGTCAAAAACATAACTGTTATCAGCAGCAGGGTCTAGATCATCTGTCTTCATAAGCAAACCAATGTATTCACAAACAGGGGCCCCAGAAGGTATATAGTCCCAGGATCTGACACCCCAACCCATCCTTGGGGTACGAAATACCTGGTGATCAGTGTCAAAAATGATATAGAGATTGACCTACTTTGAGAACACTAGAAAAGAAAATTTGAATGCACATACAAACCTCTAGTCGATAGTTAGGTGGCCTCTGGGATACCCGATTGACACAATTAGGTCCACAGCCACAATTTGGACCGCATTCAAACACAACAGCCTTTGGCTCAATTAATCTGTCAACATAAGTAGGTAAGAAACATCAGAGCACTGAAATTGCAGAATAGTAAATAAATATTTTGGACAGATTAATCAGGCTTGTCTTCTTTTCCACGAAAAGGCGAAGAAGTAGCAACATGCCAACGTATGAAACGGTAGCGGTTCAAAGTGCCAACTTGAGTCCTAGAAATCATACACTAGATAAACTGAAGGCCCATTTCATAGGTGGAATCTCAATTCCACCAAGAATGAGGAGAGAAGCTCTTGCCATTGTTTAATTAAGACAGACATGAAAGCAGAAAGGTAGTAGTTACCCAAAAAAAATGAAAAAAAAAAAAAAAAAATCCACGGGCCCACTATCCATACCCAAATACCGACTCCCCACCAAAACCAACCAAACTGATAAAAAAATTACTAGGAAAAACATTAAAAGCAAAGGAAAAGCAAGAGTGTATCATTCCTCTTCATAATGTTCAAGGACGAATTATTCCAGCCTAGCTAATTAGGCCTGGAATGAAGCAAACAATCTAATTTATGTACATCATTATATCTTCAAGGATATAATCAAGAAGTATACAGACNCCTTCAAAATTAGACACTCAATTAGAAGCTCTTTTTTCTACACAGTTTCATTTAGACTTTAACTATATTAATATGAAAGTTATTGTAGATTTTGGAAAGTAATAAAATCATTAGATGACCAACTCCTTTTGACCATGACGAATTCAGGAAAGACATGTGACTAAAACTCCAAGGCAACTACCTAGAAGATAAATCAAAAATCAAACTTGAGTAAGAGATAAAGGAATAAGAACAAATTCAACTTGCCCATGGGAAAAGGTGATCAATGAAAATCGATGACCACCCTAAAGCAACTGATAGGATATGGAAACCACTTTTTCTATAGAAGAAGAAGCAAAATTTCGCGAGTAACAAGTACTAATTGACCAAATTTTCTGCTTTCAATATCAACTCCTTTATCCAAAACGCAATTCACGTTCATGGATGTTGGAATGTTTTCAGTCTGACCATGTTTTACACAGCGAAAAGCACATAGCAACCCAAAGAAGGATCAAAGCAAATTTGTTAACATATACTAACTAATATAGTCTATCAATGGCCTTAGAACCTTAGTCGCTACAAGTTCTCTCACCTCCCGCCATGGCTGTGCACATATGGGAAATCGCCTCCGTTAAGTTTAGCACAAGCACAAGTTCTAGGATCTGTACACTTGTCTTGACAATTGCATCCAGGGGGAGCATTTGTACGGAGATTTATATTCTTAGAATATTTCATATCCTTGATGTAGTTGAAACCTATTTCAAGACCAAAAACAGAAAAATATTGGAAAAAAAATCAAGGACAGTTGATGTGAAAACTGAGAAGGAACAGACATGTTACAAAATTTAAATTACATATTTATTAAAGTAATGTTGCATCACCAGTAGATATCAAAACAGTACAAGAGAAGATGAAAAGAAACAGAAGTAAGAGCTAATAACTGATGGTATATTCCTTCACCAGTGCTCATTTTCATATGTTCTAATTACTAACGACTAGGTAAAATGCTCCATACACCTTTCAAAACTAAAATTTTAGAATTGACTGACTGAATCTTAGAGATGCATGTTATTTAATAAACCAAAGGTTAATTCAGATACATCTATATAAAGTTCATAGAAAAATTGAAAGTTAAAAGACCAACATAATGGTGACTTTTGTAATTATACTTATACCAATGGGAAGATTTAATGAAATCAATCATAGGAATCAAAATAAAAATCCAACTCTTTTACTTATTTTTTAATTCTATTTCCTAATATATGTTTGTACTTTTGCATATCCCTAAAATTCCATTTTCAGTGCATGCTCCATACCATGTTAATCGGAACCTTCAAATCCAGCACCTCTAACAAAATCACTCAACCTATGATGTACTAGCGACCTGAATTGTGCTTCTGACAAAGGAATTTGGCCGTGAGCTTGATGCTCAACATAGGATGCAGGAATGGCTATGTTTTCCTTTCTTCATACTTCTCAGGCAAAACACTTATCCTAAATCTTCACTCAGATGGTTATGCCAGTTTGTGTATTTAACAGAAAGTTTAAGTTTATAATATTGATTTTTGCAACTCTAAGTTCCTGGCAGAATTTAATTCCACCAGTTCTCAGTCTTGAACCCATCTCTGGCTTAAAGACCAGTGTTTCAACAGGGGAAACTAGTACAACTGTCTGTACAATCCATTACCGTCGTGTCCCTTGAACTTGATGTCCACATCAAACAAAAGTCACAATATATATATATATATATACGCGGGTATGACCACCAAAACAGATAAATAAACTTGCCTTTAGGAGGGATAGGTGGATCATCAACCAAATTAGTAACAGGAATGGGAATATCTTCTTGGCCTCCAGTAATGTCTTCACACACCAACCTTATTACTCAAAAAAGGCAGGATTCTCACATTTCCAATAGGTGAAAACGAAAGAAGGTGACACTAGATAGTTATATAATGCTGACATACCCGCGTATTTCAGATATTGAATTAGGAATACGGCCTCGAGTAAAATAAACCTGCGATAAAGATAAACAAATGATAATAAAAAAATAAGCATCGAAGTGGCTAAGTACTAATTAGTCATTAGACTAACTCAGCATCTTTATACAATTTTTTGTCAGAATATTTGCGATAAACTCAACTCTTAAGGTTTTTCAATACTATTAGCTATGATACACCTACATGGATACGAGTGTTTGGCACGACATGTGTTGGACACATCAACTCGAGATTTTCAAAAAAGTAATGATACAAAATGACATCAACACATTCATTAATTAATTTATTTTTGTGCAAAATAAATAAATTTTTGTATACTTGTTGCATCAAAAACAAATACTGGTTTTTCAATTTTTCCACTTCACCGTTTATAGCTTACAAAGGGTTTTCATTTAATTGCTTCTAAATTGAAGGATTAAACAACAATTTAATCAAGTAAAAACGTGGGTCTTTCTTACTTACCAATTAAGTACACTTGGGCTTTGAGTGTTTTAAATAATGGACCACATTTCTTCTATTTTTAGAAAGTGCCTCTTTTATATAAAATTAAAAATTCAAAGACTTGTTTAAAAAGCAAAAATCTTGTGACTTCAATTGTCTTCTTCCACGAAAATTAGAGTTTCATCTACAAATCAGGTGTCGCTGCTGCAATTCTCACCCCCCATGGCTAAATAAAACTCATCGCTGGTGATATTTGACAACATCGGAAACTGTGCCATCAACATCAATCACCACCCACCCTCCATTTGATTTTTCTTTCAAAAATAGACCAAGCCATGTCAGTTAATCTATTCTATTTTATTTTATTTTTTTTGTAATTTTTTTCTCATTTTTCAAATCCCCCGGCTGTGTCAGAAGGCATGTTGGACATTAGAAATCAAAACAAATTTCTGATGAGCCACCAGGCACATCCAACACGTGTCAGATTGTATCAGTGTTCGATATGCTAGCCGACACCAAAGGTGTGTCAGTGCATCACAGAATATTAGTGATCAATAAATGGCCACATTTTAACCAGTCTCTAGTAACTAACTAATTACAGGAACATGTATAGCTATTTATACTATTGCATGCCCATGTACTGATATGTTCAGCTTGCACTTTGATAGTTAACTCCAACGTAATATCCTCTTTTTAAAGTACATAAAAAATAACGTGTGTCGAAATGTGTATATATTTTCGTCCAAATGTAGCTGTAAGGACTGTAAAGCTTACAACAAATGAATTTATCATTTTTATGAAAATAAACTCTCAAACTCCATAATGCTCTTTTAAATTTGAAAAGAGTACGATTTTTGGACATCATGGAAGGTACAGGTGAACAAGAAATTAGAACAGAGGACATATTTATTCAACCAAAGCAATCAATACTAGCACTCCGTCTTATATGAAGTCCAGTAGTCCACATCTTTCAGTGGGAAAGAGGGGAAAATTCATGACTTTGTGTGCAAAACACGAGCAGAAATATTAGTCAAATAGCGAAAAGACCTGATTTGTCGTCAGTGGTGGCTGTCCATCAAGCCGCTTCAGTCGAAATTTATAAACCGTGAATCCAGATACACCCTTTTCAGCCCAGTATTTGACAACCTGCAATATAAAGAAATTGTACAACCTAGATTAAAAAAAAAAAAAAAGATGCAGACACGTTGATTTAATTTATTTAGAATGTTAGGTTCATACAGTAAATCTTAATGTTGTAACTTTCTATTTATAACATGACATGTCTTGTCGAACACTTGCCTGAGAAGTGTCCCTAAAGTATTCCTCGAGTGTTAGTAATTTAAAAATTGTATAAAAAAATAAAAATGGAACAAAGCATGTGGCTTCTTGAATATGTCCTCGGCCAAGACAAAAACACAACGCTCTAGTAAGAGTGTCTGTGATGCAGAGGCCTACACTAAGGCCATGAAACAACTACATGATATCAATGTAAGCAGAATAAATTAAGGACGGCACCAGCATTCACTGGAAATTGTTATAGAATAGCTAGTTAATAACAATATGTTTTTTATGACAAGTCCTGCACAATTATGCACAACACAGGATTGCCACCTTATCAGTAGAAAGTTAAACAGAAAGGACTAGATTGCTGGGGGTAGATTGAGGATAAAAACCTGGTATAGGCCATCATATGTGTAAACCTTTCCTGCATAGCTGTTTTCAGTCTTTCGACATAAGTGTCCACGAGTCACTCTAACAGGTATGGATTGCTCCATACAGTTCTGCAAAAAAAATAAAAATAAAAAAGGATCTGGAAGTTACTCGAGATACTTCCACCCACAAAATGCCGAATGCATATTCACATTTTTATATGCTCTGACAGGCAGAACTGTGAGCTACATGGAGACACAGTAAGCAGGAATCATAGAAATATAAGATTATGTTTGCATAGAAATGCCAAATCATAACACCGGCAAGGAGAACATAGTGTAACTAATACTCTATTTAGCTGTTTGAAAATCTGTAGGACAACCACTTGATTATAGACCTTCAAACGTGGAGACAAGTAGTTGCATCAGAAATTATGTCAACATTAGATTAAATTGAATCAAGTATACAGGAAATAGGATTCTGAAGTTTGCGGGCACAGGGATCTCTAATTAACAATCAAACTACTAATGACCATCCTTGTGTCAATAAAAACCATAGATGGGACTAGTTTGCTACAAATATGGAAGCAAGATAAGACAGTTCCCCTGTGAAAAATAGAATCTTCAAAAATACAAAATAGACGACCATGAGAACCCTTCTTTTTTTTTTTTTTTTTTTTTTTTTTTTTTAACACTACCTAAAGAATGGAATTTGAAAATATCAGTGGTTGCAATTACCCCGCTGCAGACAATGATATATTCGTTACTCAGTACAGTACTAACCTTTTGTAGCAATTATGATACAGAGATTGTATATCGATCCTTGTCATTCATCTTATGAACAATAAATTTTAACACGGGGGACCTTCTTTCTCTGTCTTCAATCATCAACCCTCAGGTTATCTCATGCAAGATAACAGTTTCTAACCGGATCATATTACTTTCCTTTTTATTTCAAATCAGGTTATCTCATGCAAGATAGGGGTATGGTCAATTGTCGGCATATACCATGAGTTCTACGCCATACCTTGCTGGTACGAATACCTTCGTTTAATATAATCTTTTTGGTGTAGAAAGTCTCAAATTCAGGATCTTCCACTGCGTGAATTTCCTGAGAAACGAAGTCAACCCCGCTACCCCCTTACATTGGGGTAATCCCGATTGTCTTACTGATTCTCTTGCCAAAACAAGAAAGAATTTCTTTCACTACACTAAATAGGAAGTTACATTTGTAGCAGTCCAAGAATTACTCCGCAAAATGATGCATTTTTTGTTCTTTCTTCATTGGGTTTGAACTGGCTAGACATGGTTTAGTTTAGGGCAGTCATGGAGAATAATGAATTAAATATTGTGGTCTACTCACTAACAAATACAATATCCCGCATCATAGATAATGTATAAATAAATCAATACATCCTCATATGGAAGATTTAAACACAAAAGTGCAGCCAAAAGTCTGTTTATCACATATAAGGTATGCGGAGTGGGAGTACAAAGAAACACACAAACAATGGAAAGTGGAATCTACGTGCCTTTAGTCCCAGATTACCACGTTCCATTACTTGATCTCTGATCTGACGCTTATTACCGAGCAAGTTGTTGCCACCTTGACCAGTGTAGACAACTTCCTCACAGTTGTCTTGATCGTCTTCATACTGGCCAGACAAGACAATAGATGTTGCAAGGGGTAGTGTGTACTGACTACAATCCAGCAACTGAAGGGACACGAAAATGAAATCCAAAATGGAAAAATAAAATTTCTCTATCAAGATTGCTAATCAAAGAAAAGAAAGATTACATGTCAAATACGTAAAGCAACAAAATGAAAAAATAACAAAGGACACACAAAGTAATTCCAATCGAATGAAATGACATGTTTTAGGAACCGTTGTTCCACTATAGAAAAACCTAAAGAGCTTCATAGGGTTAAGACAACACCAACAACGTGGGTATTTAGTTTTGAAATTCCAGCAAAAAGTCCCTCAACAGATGGCAAATCTGATAGCTGAATAGGCAAGATATTTCTGAACCCGAGGGTAAAGCTACATATCACTCCTTTTACATGGCCTATGGCCTCATAAATATTCAGCCATTTACCTGAGAGGCCAGAGAACCAAATATATAAAATGAATAGTACAAGAGCATCCATGATCTGAGAATCGTGATAAAGGAATTCAATATTACCGACTTACGAGCAGCCGTGCCAATAAAATCAATTCCATTCAGCCAATGACCGTGAAAACCAACAACCACCATCTCAGCCCGAGAGAAAAATTGATGACCAACATCAATTCCTGCCATCACAAATGCATTTAAAATCCATTTATGCTTATCCAGAAAAATATAGTGTTATAAAAATTTACTTCAGTGTCCAGACGATTCAAGGATTATTCAAGCCGAGATATTGATGACATATCTTAGATTCATTAACTGGAAGTTGAGGATTAACATGGTATTTAAGGCCTAGTTTGTAAAAGTTTGTAAAACTCTTATTGCGACATTAGAAGTTTTATATTTATTATTTAATGATAGAAAAAATGTTTCTGCAATAAGCTTATATTAAATAAGAAACTCATTTAGAATTGAGATATTCTCACACCACTCAAGAAATCTCTCATAATGAGATGAAGAATGGAAAAAAAAAAAAAAAAAAAAAAAAAAAAAAAAGAAAAAAAAAAAAAAAAAAAAAAAAAAAAAGCAAAGAGAAATATATATAGAGAGGCTTATTAAGTATTTTTGAAGTACTTGTCTGGTAGTGTTTTTAAGTTGTAGGTCCTATAGAATGTGAGAATAATAAACAGTTAGGTTGTTGGTGTTATGGACCTAAATTAAAACTCAAGTTATTGTTAAAGAGGCTCTAAAATAACAAGACAATATGGTAATACCAAGAAGTGGGATGAACGTCTAAGCACTAAATAACATGTCAAGCACGAAACCATGAGCATGTTTGAAACCCATTTTTGGCACAAAATGCATTGTGGGATAGTATTTTGATGAAGAATTTGTAGCTAAAAAATAAGAAAAAAATTAAAATTTGCGAATAATATTATTTTATTCAATAATGTGTAGTTGAAAATAAAAGAGAAAAATATATTTTAAAAATAATTGGGACCAAAAAAGATGCTCAATTAACATTAAGAATTTTTCATACCGGTGGAGTATTCACGGGGGGTACTGCAGAACATGTGCAGGCCCCTTCTAATGGAAAAATCAAATTCAATGAGGATTTGGTTCATCCGACACGTACACGTCATGGACATCCTGCCTTTCTATGTTCTATAGACTTGTATGTAACTATTGAGAGTGAAGATATTCTACATAATGTAAATGTTCCATCCAAAAGTTTTCTTTTAGTTCAAAACGATCAATATGTAGAATCAGAACAAGTGATTGCTGAGATTCATGCAGTAACATCTCGGAAATATTCCGCCATAGTTAGGGCAGTCAAACCAACTCTCATACGAGCTACAGGCAGTTCATTCATCTGGCCATAAACTAGAGCCACTTTTGATTCTGCAATATTTCTTCATTAATCACTCCAGATTCTTTCATTTCCATGTAAATATCATTTCCTTCACGAGTACGTTCACCCACTCCGCCAAATACGGATACACCCCCAATATAAGAAACAATAAAGACAAAAAGCAAAATGCAAATTAAACTAATTCTTCTTAGACCATTTAAAAGCCATGTTTTAGCACCAAACCATTGTTACCTCCCTAAATATGGAAGAAATAAACACTTACATTAAGCAAAAGGCTGCAATGCAAATGCTACTAGACGTTTACACATTACACAACTATAATATTCTCCACGGTTTTCATTTATCCTATAACCTTTACAAAAACTATTATACACAGTTTACTAACCTGGAATGGAGCCAAACCTCTTCTCAGGGTTTAGAATAGCTCCCATCTCCATCATCTGCTAATTTTTCACAAGCATTACATCAAAAGTTATGAAAAGGGTAAGGTACTACCACATTCAAGACATAAAGCAAGAATCAAATTGGAGTAAAATCTAAATGTTTTGCAATATCTATTCCGTATTGTGTCGGACATACGTGTCATATGCATCATAGTCGGTATGCATTTGTAATATCTGCATTTGCAAGGATCAATTCAATATAATGTCGGACACACAAGTCCATATCAGTGTATCATAGTCTAAACATGTGGATAAACACCAAACTACCATAACCACAGATTGTATGATAGTATATTGTTAACCACTAATTTTAAAGAATAAATGTGTACATCTTAAAACTTTTAGATGATGTAGTGCAACATGGTAGGAGAGTAAGCAAATGTCCTGGGATAAAAAATGAATCTAGCTCGCACACTAGGGGTGAAGACTAAATTTAAACAAATAACTAGGTAATCCTCGGTCCTCTCTAACAACTTAAGATTTTTCTTCCTAATTAATTGCACATGTTTCAAAAGGCTTAATCAGGTATCAAGGCATTTTGTTCTGTGAGGCTAGCCATAAGCCCTTAAGCGCTTTGAGGCGCAAGCCTCAAGATAGATACAGTAATATATAATTCAAAAATATATTATTATAAAATTATGTTCATTATAAATCATTCACCATCTTAAAGAATCAATGATAAAAACAAATTAATAAATAAAAAGTTTAGCTTGCAAACTAACATAAATTAAATCAAGATAAAGAAAAATAGTCCAAAAGGAGGAGGCCCATAATAGAGTGTCCGGAAAAAGCAAGACAAAAAGGGAAATTAGTTGCGTAAGCGTCACCAATAAATCAAGGCATAAACACAAAAATGGCACTTAATGAGAGGGATATGCAGTGTAAGCCTCGAATACATTTTTTTTTAACAATGAATTGCATAATATCCATTAATAACTAATGTGCTTTGAAAATTCTAACAAATTAGCAAAGGTTAGGAATATTAAATAGAACTAGATTAATGGAAAGCGAACGTCAACAAGGTGCATGTATATAAAGATTTATCCCAGAAAATGATGACATGCCTTAGTTATAGCTTTCAAGTCAGGTCGTTTGGAGCCCCTTTTAGTGTCATCAGCAGCTATACATTTCTTCTGCACAAATTTCAACATTATAAGCTGTTTCAGAAGTTTACTACCATTTGGGCAATAAAAAACTGCACAAAAACAGTCAACAATGCTGCAATACACAGCTTCCACGAGCATTAAAACAAGCAGGCTTCTGGTGAGGTGCCTTCCTGGAGTTTAAAAAGACAGGCAGCTGGCCAAAAGGAAGCTTGAATCTGCTTCAGGTTATGAAGGGACTGCACCATAGTCTTCCAAGAAAAAAGGATTCCTTTACATCTAACACTTGAATCTGGACAGATTTTAACAAAATTTGCAATACAATATTTGAAATTACCTAGGAAAGGTGAAATCAAACAAGAGTCTATCAGCTCACAAATGCAAAAGGCAAACAAGAATTAATGCCAACATCAATTACTTGAGATAAGTTAACAACAGAAACAGACACCAAGTTTTGAATATTGTATGCTTGTAAGTTGTATGTACCTGATCCTAATGGGAAGACCGATCAGTGAACTCACCCGTTCACATCTCTCCCATTTCGCTGATCAAAAAACAGAGACAAGGTCACATCAGCACTTAAGGAATTTGATATTGAGAATTGAAGGAGATTGGATAAATGCAAACCTTGGACTTTGAACTCTTGTTTGATTTCCCATCAGCTTCTTGTCTTTCACACCGTTTATATTCTTCCTACAAAAGAAAGAAAAAAAAGGGTCAAAGCATCGAAATAATTTTCTTCTTCTAGAAGGTAACATAAAAGCAAAATTTCTGATGTTTTCCAAGCAGTAACTAACAAAAGCATAGCCCCTGTTTGGCCCCCGTTAAGCCTCCATTTGGCTCCCATTTTTAAAGGGTTTTTCTATGGGTACATTAAGGGGTGCAACTGGGTGTCCACCCCCTATTGGAGGGGGGCCTGTGGCTGCTGCCGGGTCTCCGGCTGTAACGGGTTAGGTACCCATAGAAAACCCCTTTCTTAAAATGGAATTAAGTGGAACATTGTTTTTTTGAAAAATGAATAACTGAAAAAGAAGTAAAATTTTTTGATTTACTAGTAATATTTTATGGAAGATCGCGTGGTTGAAAATGAGAGAGAGAAATGAAATGTAACTTGATGAGATTCAAACATGGGCCAAATTAAAATTCATTTCTCTCTTGCCTTATCAAGAAAACATTTTTCAATAAAATAATATTACGAGTAAACCTAAAAATCTTTCTTTATTTTTCAATCAAACATTCTCCAAAAATTACTATTACGCTCATTAAAATGTGGATTAATGGAGCCCAAACAGGGGCATAAATTGGTCTCATATGCTTTGCAATATCTGGTCAATTCAGGAGACGTTTAACATAAGGATAATTGGTACTAACAGGTAGCCAAGAATTACAGAAAACGGAAATATTAATAATACATCTTATTCAATCTTTTTGCAAGCTAGTAGCTAAAAGAGCACAGAAAAATAACAAAAACACAAGAGTCGATACATTAAAATAAAAAAGTGTTCACAGCCCGAGTTACCACACCCTACGATTCTGGTTCGCCATCCCTTCTTCGCCAGCCAGCCCCCCCCAACTGCTCATACAGTTCTCTTCCCCATTTTATTAAAATCACCACAACTGATTGTTAATTTCTCCACTCCCTTGGAATCCTACGGAATCTAATTGAAATCGAAATTGGTAATGAGAGAGATTACCCTTCAAATGTTAATTTGGATGAACGAACGATCAAAGTTGAATCAGACATACTGGGGGTTTCTTCATCTGATTGAAAAAGAATTACTTCGCACTCAAAACTAATTAAGAATTATAAACATGTAGAAATCAAAAATGGTGGTTTCATTGTTAAATTAACCTCAATTTATGCAATCAAAGCCTCCTTGTCGACCTTCTGCAGTGATTTCCCCGGAGTCAGATATGGAAGCAGAGATGGGTCGTTGACTGCTTCTGCCTGGTTCGCTAGAATAGATGAGAGAGACGATACTGTTTTGTACGTGTTGGAACGGTTGAATTCCATGGAAAATATAATCCACCTTCCCCTAAAGAAAATATTTTCCTTGATTCCAAAGAAAATGTGATCACGTGATCAAAAGTGGGAAAATATTTTTCTTGAAAAAAATTGTCAATCAAACAAGACAAAAGTAGGAAAATAGATAGGAAAAACACATTTTCCATGGAAAATGTGTGCAATCAAACGCACCCTTAATACTTTAAAATAAGAGAGATACTTCCTAGAGATAATTTAATGAATGGTCACTAAAGTTTATTATAAGTTACCACTTGCTCACCGATATTTAAAAAGTTAGATTTTGCGTATTCAACTTTGTTATATATTACTATTTATTAATTGAAATTTAAAAGGTTACTCATTGCTCACCTAAATTTGAATAAAGTTACTCGTTACTTACTAAATTTTGCAATATATAACACTCATGGAAATGATATGGATGAGTGATGGGTAACTTTGTACAAATTTGAGTAAGTAATAAGTAACTTTTTAAATTTCGATGAGCAAATAGTTACCTATAGTAAAGTTCAGTGAACAAAGAGTAACATTTTATAATTCGGTGAGCAAATAGTAATTTATAGTGAAGTTCAGTGACCATTGATTATATTAACTCATAGGGAAATTTTACAATTACTTTACCGATAATGATGTAACAAAATTGCATTGATTGTTAGACAAATAATACTGCTCATCCAAGGTCACGTGATGCCCATGGAAATCCAGGGCCCATGTAACCTTGACATTTAGTAGCGTCCTTGTTAGACAAAAAATATAGTTAAATCAACTAATGAAATTTTCACAGATCATCATATGTAATCAATCTGTAAAATTTTCCTGTACAAATAGTAGTTTTGAAAAAATAATTGGTTTTGAAATTGAAAGATGAGTTGGCATCATAATAGAAATTTATAAATATGAGCTCAAGTTTTTATCCTATTGTATCTGTGTGCAAAGTGCTTACAAAATCAGATAGTCGCTTCAATCAAGCCATATTGTGATCAACTAAAAGTTTCTATTTCGATAGAATCGTTCAACTTTATTTAGTTCACATCGAATGAAAGAAACTTTGAAATTATGATATATTACTACTTATTTATTACATAGAGAGCGAAAAAATGAAATCATATGAACTTGTTCTGACTTAGGATAATAAGTTTGCGAGCTTTATCTTACTTCAACGTAAGAAATTTTTGCATGCTTAAGAGCTTTTCCTTTTATATTCAATGGAGATTAGGTGTTTGACTATATTTTTCGAAATAGATATCTTTGTTATGCTACAGTCTAAGTTTTGAATAAATTTGATAAAATTAGGTCCCACCGTATCTAAGCCTGACCAGATCTTCTATCTCGTTAATGTCCATAATCTTCAATTGACATAGTTGTTCTATACTGTAATTGATGCATGATAAGTGTATTTTATACACTTATTTAGGCCGTTAAAATTTAGTATTTGTTGATAAATTGGATGAAATATGGCTTAATCCTATGTATATATTGTGTGTATGTTACAATCAATGGAAAGTACGAGAATAAAGAAAATAAGCAAAAAAATGACTCAATTACATCAAGGGCAAAGTTTGGGGACTAGAATGCAATAATTCAAAAGTTAAATTGGACTGAAGAACGATGAGTTAAGAACACCAAGAGTCAATTGAAATTGGAGAAAAGCTAATGGGACAAGAAATTTTGGAAAATGACCAAAACACACACTTCAAAAAGTTAAGGGACCAAATTGCAAATTGACCCTAAAATAATTGAACTATGCGTACGCATGGGCTTGCAGGCCTTGCATACGTACGATTGGGAAATTGAACTTCCGAAATCTAATTGAGGCTACTACGCATACGCACCAAATGAATCATGCGTACGCATGGTTCAACTTTGACGAAAAAAATTCTGTTTCCTTATTTTGTTTTAGAAAAGTCTTGGTTTGAAATTTCTGGCACCATATTTATACCAAGAATCGAATAAAACACGAAGAACCTAATTTTCTAACATCTTGCAAGCCGATAAAGAGGAGAAAGAGAGAGATATACATTTAAAAACAAGACTTCATCACTTGGATTCGAAATTAAATGCATAAAGTGAAGGATTTCAAATTCTTTTCATACTTTAATGATTTAGGTGATGTTGTTATTTTATTTTCATGTATTTCCTACATTAATATGCTAGGCTAAATATCTTTGTATTGGATGGATGACAAAACTGGTTGATTCGTAGTTTTTAATTCAATACCTTGTGTTTTTATCTTACTTTATGTGTTGTGATTCCTTTAATATGCATATTCATATTGTTTTAATATTTGCGCATCATTATGGCAATAAATTGTTTATTCGTAGTGTTGAAAAATTCATGGTAGGTAGAATACTGTTATTGGACCGCATGGACAATTAATGTTAAGAATAATATTTATGACGCGTGCGATCATGTGTGATAATCTTATACATTAATGGGTGTTTGTCATATGAATTCGGACTAGAAATAGGATCGTATCGTGATAATCATAGGTTTATTATATATTGAGAAAGAATAATAAATAAAAGTGGTATTATCAATTGTGACAATTACATGAGTTGGGATAACTGTCATAGGTTGAGAATTAGAATTAAGAATTGATCAGTGGCGTCAGAAATCCAAAACATTCACTCATCTGAATTTTAAAACAAATTCTCATTAATTTTGCAATTTTTAGTTATAGAACTTAATTAGCTATTTAAACAAAAATCAACTTTTGGTTACTAATATGAATTTAATTATATCGAATACACTAAAATTAGACCTTATTCTCTGTGAGATGATAACTCTCTCATCACAATTATTAACCCGTACGCTTGCGGGATTTTGGCGAACAATGCAGTGAAGAGATAAAGTGATGAGCTAGCAGAGCTAAAAGGAGCCAAAATAGGGTTCTAGCAGATCGAAGACAGATTTATTTTAGTAAGAAAGTTAGTGCTATATCTGTTGAAGACATGAGTGAGTAATGGTAATATATAAAATTTAGATAATTGCATAAATATTAAACTATACTATAATGCATCGATACATAAATTTTGTTAGTATTGAAATTATTTGCATTAAATTTATTAATATAGATAAAATGAAAACAGATGAGATTGAAGCAATTTGCATGGCTTAGGTAAAATCATTAAATGGCATTTATGAGAACAACAATGAAAATATTAATTGAGCAAAATGATAACTGGCGAAAATTCAATTTTGTTTGACGATATGAATGTTGGTGATTTAAAATTGAAATTAATATCCCGTGGTCATTTAGACACAATTAAAAACAACACTAATGTCTATAATTACCAGTACACCTCCTTAGTGATTACTGACGATAATGTCGTCAATGATGTTATCTAGAACTACTGACGATACTTTAACAACAATAAATCTTTGATGATTGTCATCGCCAAACAATACGATTGTTGGTGACTATGGTCGAGGGTAATAAATGTTGATTAAGATAGTTTTAGGTAACTTCTCATAATGCTAGAAATATCTCAAAATATATAGTATTGAAAATTTTGGTGAATAACTAATAATTATATTTATAATATTAAATTCTGATTTTTACTTATGAGGATTATATATAGGCATTGAATTAGGTTAACATATGGACTCTGTAATTAATAACATTCTAATAAAACCTTGCCGACCTTAATTTGGATTTGAAATGATGGTAAAAGATTACAAATTTTAATGA